GTTCAAACACTGAGTATGGCTATTTATCAGTCTATGTTGTATTGTGTTGTAGGTGATGAACAGGGCGCGGTTATGCAGGCAGGCAGCCAACCTGGCAGGTTTGTGCTAAAAGACTTACCTGTTGTTAGGATCCTGGTTGGCAGTAAGAGGATAGATGCAATGTAATGTCTCTTGGATGAAGTCAGAATATTCAAACATTCAATCAAGCATTGTGTATACTATGTGTGTGTGTGTGTGTGTGTGTGTGTGTGTGTGTGTATGTATGTATGCAGGAGTCAGTAAGATTAAATGTTTTTGCTTATGCTCAACAAGGCTGCATTTATTTAATCAAAAAGTAAAAAATCTATTGTGAATAACTAAAATATTGTGAAATATTATTACACATTAAATATGTATTTTCTATTCTAAAATATTTCAAAATGTAATTTATTTTTGTAATTACGAAACTGACGTTTCAGCAGCTATTCTATTCTTCTGTGTCACATGATCTTTCAGAAATCATTCTAATATGCTGATTTGCTGCTCAAGAAACATTTCTTATTTTTATCAGTTAAACCCATTGGGCTGATTAATATATTTGTGGAAAACATGATACATCTTTCAGAATTTTTTGATAAACATAAAGCTTAAAAACAGGATATATTACATTTTAATGTGTCATTGTATTAATCTTACTAACTCCAAACTTTTGAATGGTGGTGTAGATATGAGAGCTTGAAATATGTCTAAAAATGTCCAAGTTTTTTTTTTTTTACCAAGCTATTGTCTTACATGTTAACATTAATTGAGAGTTGACTTTCCGTTTTTTCTTGCTGGTTCAGAAAAGCAATACAAATGGAATGTTGATCAACTAAAAGAAATGTGCCAGGACTGGGAGAGCACATACAGGAGTGCATGTGAGGTAAAGAATGTGTACAAAAACATACATAGACCACTAAAAAGTAGTGTTAACAGAGGAAGGAGTGTCTACAGAAATAAGCAGAGCTTCATGTTTTCTTTTGGGTAATGATGACTAAATGAGAGAAGACACAATCTCACAGGCATGTGATAAACAGTCATAGCATTCTGTCATACAGCTGGAGAATATTTATTGATGTGGTATACAGGTTGAGAAAATGCCATTACCAAAAATAGTAAAAAGGGAAATAATTCTTAATTTACTGGCCACATTTTAAAAGGAAGTGACATTAAAAATAGTTAATGTTTTGTATTTGTGTGTTGCCTTGTAGGTGTTCCAGCAGCAGGAGTCTGAGCGCATTAATATCTTGCGCTGTGTGTTATGGGATCATTGCAATCTGCTGTCCATGCAGTGTGTCCAGGATGATGACGTAAATGTCCACATTTCTCAATCTTTATATACCAAAGCCTAGCCAAATGCTGTTTATTTTATTTATTTTAACAACTGTTTTCCTTTGTTTTGTAGTGCTATGAGGAAGTAAGAAAGATTTTAGAGCAGTGTGACATCATCTCTGACAACAACTGCTTCATTAAAATGAAAGAGACGGCCTGTCGTCCTCCTGGTATATTCACCATCATCATGATTTACTTCAGAAATCTAACAGTTCAAGAGCTGTCATAAGATGATGTGATGCTGTTAAGAAATTCTACATAAATTGACAGTCACTCCTCCATGTCTCCTCAGCTCCCATTGAGTTTCAGAGTTACTCTGACTTGAACGCTAATGGAGGAGTCAAGAGGGTTGAAACGAAGAGGTGAATGTCTGAACTACATAAACTTAATTAAGAATGACTGTAATTTTATGGTTTTTGTAACTTGATTGTGAAACTCTACCTTTTGTATCTGCAGATTATCTGTCATGCTTCCAGGGATGTCTTTCAGTGGTCAGTATTACTTCTGTGAAGTCTTAAAGAGATAGTTCACCCAAAAATGTCATTAATTACTCACCCTCATATTGTTCCAAACCTGTAAGACCTCTGTTCATCTTCGAAACACAAATGAAGATATTTTTGGTGAAATTTTTGGTGACCTTTCTGACCTTGCATAGACAGCAACATAACTGACACATTCAATGCCCAGAAAGGTAGTAAGGACACGAGTGGGCGTACTGACATAGAACGTCCATCTCTCTTAGTTCATCGTCTGTATATGCTGGTTCAAATAAGTAAGGCTTGGCAAAAAATTGCTCTCTCTTTTGAAATCTTCAGACATGTTTATGAAGACTGTTTTATGTACAGCGTGCGTCGTCTTCTGCTTGTAAACAAGGTGCAGCACATCCAGGTTCTGTGTCTGAACGCCGGCTCCTGCGTCTGCAGCAACACACGCATGCATCGTGGTACTCTGACACAAACTGACACGGAAGAGAAGAAATCGTTGAATAAAGTTATTTTTGTTTTCTTCACACACAGAAAGTAACTTCATAAAATTATGGTTGAACCACTGATGTCACATGGACTATTTTAATGATGTTTTTACTACCTTTCTGAGCCTTGAACGTGTCAGTTGCACCGCTGTCTATGGAGGTTCAGAAAGCTCTGGGATTTCATTTAATTTCAAATATCTTTTTTTTTGTTCCGAAGATGAACAAAGGTCTTATGGGTTTGAAACGACATGAGGGTGAGTAATTAATGACAGAATTTTCATTTTTGGGTGAACTGTCCCTTTAAATTTATAGTCTGTATGCAAAGAGCATTAAACTAATATACTCATAATACATTAACCCTAACCCTAACAATAAGCAGTATTAGGAATTATCTACACTGAACATTGCTGCCCTTACTGTACATCACAGGGTATCCTGAAGCAGGCAGTAATTCAGCTGGATCATACACATCTGCTCAACAAACAGGAGGAGGACCTGAGAAGTACATGGTGTTATATGATTTTAAAGCTCAGGTAAGTAAATACATTAACTTTTATACTTAGTTTTTATCCCAGGGGTTAGTAGACTCTGTGGTTGAGCACAATTCAGAGTTGAGTTTAGCATGCTTTTTAAAGTTTCTGTTTAGTTTCAGTAATTGAATTGAGGTAGCAATCGGGAACTAGAATTGAAAGTAATTCATATAAACCTCATAAGTGTAATTTTTATCATAAAAATGTTTGCCTGACAGCCTTGTTAAAAAGTTTAAAATGTCTATATATATTTATTTAAAAAAGAACGTTATAGTCTTTAGAGACTGATTGTACGATTTGTGTACTCAACTCCCTGTCTCCCTCATTTCTAGGAAGATGATGAGCTGTCTATCAGTAAAGGACAAGCTGTCACAATCACTGAGAAAGGCGAGGATGGGTGGTGGAGAGCGTGGAGGGATGGAATATCCGGGCTAGTCCCTGGAACGTACCTGACCAAAATCTCAGCGCAGAGTCACAGTACACGTCTTGCTGCTGCTCATCCTGACCATAATCCCATCAAATAGAGTTTAGTAGTCATTACACTAAGTCTGTGGATTAGTTCAGCATGCAGATTGATGTAGAATGATTACGTCAGTGTAGCAAACTATCAGTACATCAAACTATGAAGACATTAGCTTTCTTGACAGGCATCTTTAGGATTTTTAATGATCTTTAAGTGAATATAAGTTATTCTAAAGTTGTTCGTGTAATGGTACTGATCACGATACAGTTTAATCCAGTTTTTCCATGGTGTATAGTTAAAAATTATACAACAAAATGTTATATGATTTGTATTAGAATTATGAATTCTAAAGTTGAATGTCTGTACTGTAATATATATAAATAACACTGTAATGTATACATTTAGTATTATCAATTTTGTAATATATTGCTATAATTTATCACATCTTATTTGTCTACTAAATATTGTAATCTGCATGTTCACTCATTTCACACAAAAAAGGACTCGAAAAAAATGACTCATAACCCATATGCCTCAGCAATGCATTCAGAAATGTAAATGCATTAAATTCATGATTAAACTGAAATGCACACCAATAAATGCACAGAAATATGCAACCATCTGTTCTCTCAGGGAAAAAAAGGTACAAAGCTGTCACTGGGGCGGAACCCTAAGGTACAGAAGCTAAAAGGCATCCTTCCTTCTAGCCTGACATAAATGTATATAATAAATGTAAATCATGATATATATAAACACAAGTTGATGTAATTAATACAAAAATGAAACAATTAAATTAGTTAATAAATAAATAATAATAAAAAAAAACGATATGATCTGGGTATGCAAAGTGATTCTCTGCCTGCAGGCTATTTCAAGCACACACCAAATAAATGCACAGAGATATGCAAACGTCTCTTCTCAGAAAAAAGGTACAAAGCTGGGGCTATGCCTAAAGTGTAGGCATTGTGTGTATGTATGTATGTATGTATGCAGGAGTCAGTAAGATGAAATGTTTTTGCTTATGCTCAACAAGGCTGCATTTATTTAATCAAAAAGTAAAAAAAATCTATTGTGAATAACTAAACTATTGTGAAATATTATTACACATTAAATATCTATTTTCTATTCTAAAATATTTCAAAATGTAATTTATTTTTGTGATTACGAAACTGACGTTTCAGCAGCTATTCTATTCTTCTGTGTCACATGATCTTTCAGAAATCATTCTAATATGCTGATTTGCTGCTCAAGAAACATTTCATATTATTATCAGTTAAAACCATTGGGCTGATTAACATATTTGTGGAAAACATGATACATCTTTCAGAATTTTTTGATAAACTTAAACCTTAAAAACAGAATATATTACATTTTAATGTGTCATTGTATTAATCTTACTGACTCCAAACTTTTGAATGGTGGTGTACAGGGATGGGCAGTATTTCAGATACATGTATTTAAAATACGTATTTGAAATACAAAATACTATTTTGTAATAGTCAAATGTAACTTGTATTTAAATACATTTAAGGTTAGTATTTTTGTATTTTCAAAATACATAAAATACTTTGTGCCAGTCAACCTTTTTATCAGGATGCCGATTTAGGTCTGCTGATTTTGCCCCTCCCCCAACCCCAACATTCATCACGTGAGCTGCAGCTGTACAACTCTATTCAGTCTTGGGTGAGTGACTTTTCTGGAATAAGATAAGGTGAGGATGTCATGGTCAATTGTACATGTTGGTTAAAGTTAAAATAGTGCATCATTCAGATTTGCCGTCAGTTAACATGAAAGAATAAAAGAGCACTGACAAAGGGAAAAATAGCGTTAGCCAATCAGTTTTAATAGCTAGTCGTTTTTTTTTTTTTTATCAACTAGCTTGTCAAATGTGTTTAAAGCATTACTGCAGGTAATGGCTGGGTGATATGACAATACATATCGTGGCGATGATATAAAGTGTGAATCGACGGAAATTTTTCTAAATCGTTTACATAGATAGGCCTGTTGGGGAAAGCAAATATATCCTATGATTTTACATACCATTGCATGAATGACTGCCTTACACATAATATATTATTATATTTATGACTAACGATCAAATGATTAAGTAGTTAGAAACTAGTTGCTATGAATACAGGTGCCATCAGATGTCTTCTTATGAATGACATGTTTGTCACTGAGTCAGTGCTGCTGATGCAAAGTAGGCCCTTTGTTACCAAACACCAAGTAACTAAATTAGGATACAATTATGAGTCATTCGCAAACTGTTAAACTGTTGGTTACTTTAAAACGAACCTTCATCTGGGAAATCACAGGGATATGTGAATATTTGATCTGTTAACTGGTTGCATATGTCAGATTTATTGCATGACTCGGGCAGAGAAAAGCTGTTGCTATCAAACATTGTTCACAAACATCAGTGTTTTGGTGAAGAGATAGATCAAATAGACCAATTGATGGAAGGTTTGTGAAGAAATTTCATGCTCCCTTGTAAAAGTATTTTTTAGTATTTTT